GAACCAAAGACGATAGAAAATTATGCATATAAGTTTTCAAAATGGAATAACGAAAGTAGTTTACGTAGTCTATCAGCTAACCAAGCATTTCCAATCACAGATGAAATTATTAAGAATATTGTTTTTTAAAAATGAGTCATTCGTCTGCTAGTGTCAAGGAGATCAGAACGGTTAAATTTTGTTGTTTTCGGGTTTGCAGGTTTTTGAGGTATAAGGAGAAATTGTGTTACTCATCTTGTAGAAAAATGTTTTTGGGTACTTAGAAAGAAATAAGAGTTGAAACAACCATCTTTGGTTGACATGGTTAACGTAGTGATGATACTACTACAGGTGCTAACAGTGGATGTGAACGGTAGGTTGTTCGGCTCATAGGAGGTGGAAAGTGATTGTTCTATAGATGGTTATGTGGAGAGTAACATTCAAGAAAGGCACAAAAGTTATCAATCTTGGTTTATAATAGGTGACTTAATTAAGTTTATTGCGTTATTCATATTAAATAAGAATATACTATCTTCATTTGAATGGGATTTTAAACTTATTCTTACCTTACCTTATCTTTGTTCTTCGGGAATAGCGGCACATAAGAGCCAATGCAAATTTATATGGTGGTTGTGTTCTTTTAAGATTTAAATACGGAGGACCAGTTTTAATGATATTTTCTAACGATTGAGCGTAGCGAATAAGTTTGAAAATTATTTAATACAGGTACTTCACACTGTTTTGATATCAGATTTGGAGAAGGTGTTCTATAGTTTGTTACGGGGGTGTATATTTGAGTATGTTCTGTTCTATTTAAGTGACGACAAACGGTGGTATTGATTGAATGAGTAGAATGAGTAGTGAGTGATTTATGTTTAGGAAATAGGTTTTGAGTCATTTGGCTTTGTGACGCTAACACGGCAGCATTTGCTAAATTTACCAAACAACTTTAAGGTTAACTGTTTTAAAATATTTTGTCAAATGTATTTTTACTTTGATATAAAGTTAGAGATAGTTTTTGTTTTAAGTAAATTGTGTTTCGAATTCTTAAATCCTACAAACGCCAATTTCATCTTAGGGGTAGGTGGACCTCCTTGTATATAAAAAACAAAATGTACAAGGTACCTTTCGCACTTTGCAAAAGGGGTCGCCGCGAGGTTGCCATTAAAGAATTCAATTATTAGCCTACAGGGCATAAGTACTGTAAATATAATACTAAGAAATTGTATACAGAGTATGTTAGCAAGGTTTCCGAAACCACATGAATATAAAATGTAAATTATTTACAATAATTCATAACTGAGATAAAAAGCTGGATAAAAAGCTTTACCTCTGAGGCATATGGAACGAGTTTAATGTTTGGGCAAGGAGTTGCCATATATTTATTATTTATAATTTCAGACGAGACTCGTCTCTGAGACGTTTGTGGAGCTATAAAAGATTACTATTTATACATTATAAGATTTGAGATATTTGCCTCCGAGGCTAAATAATGATTTCATTTTGAAATTAGTCAAAAGAATTAAGTCCCATGAATCAATATTGGACTATTATGGAGTTTTTGCCTCAGGAGCATCTGGAGATAAGGAATATTTGGTATTGTAAGTTTACTTCTGGAGAACACGTACTTTAGAAGTTAATAGAATCTTAATATATGCCAGGATTATGATCAGATCATTGGACTATTATTGAATTTTGCCTCCGGGGCATATGTAGATAAGGATTGTTTTATATTAAAAGTTTACCTCTGAGGAATAATCTACTTTAGAGGTTGAAAATATAATATTTACTCAATGTTTTGTATGCCAGGATTATGATCAGATCAATTGATCATGAACTATTATTTAAGTTTGCCCATCGGGGCATCTATGCATAAGTAATATTTAATATTAAAAGTTTACCTCCGAGGAATGTGAACTTTAGAAGTTGATTACTGAATATTAATGATATATGGCTTTGTATGCCAGGATTATGATCCGATCATAAGTCCGGGACACCTCCGAGGTGCTGCCCAAATGGTCATTGTGTATTCGGAGTCTGTATGTACGATATTATCATAGGCCAATAAATAGCGACATAGCGGCACATAAGAGCCAATGCAATAATATAATATTAACAAAATATAGATTCATATGCCAGGATTAAGATCATTGGACTATTATTGAATTTTGCCTCCGGGGCATCTGTAGATAAATATTGTTTTTATATTATATGACTGTTTACCTCTGAGGAATAATCCACTTTAGAAGTTAGAAAATATGATATTAATAATATGGCTTTAAATGCCGGTGTGAAAGAAATGATGGTCCCCTTTGTTAACGGCCCTTACTGGCCCCGATTGCGTATAAGGTAATGAGGGAAAGAGTTGTATTTAGGTCACCATATAAATCAATGGAGAGTAGGACCATAATTTGATAGGACCTCCTACCCTTTTACACCGGGACCAAGATCAGGCAATTATTGAATATTATTGAATTTTGCCTCCGGGGCATCTGTAGATAAGGATTGTTTTATATTATAAGTTTACCTCTGAGGAATAATCCATTTTATAAGAATTAGAAAATAATATTAATGATATGGCTTTAAATGCCGGGATTAAGATCATGTCATTGGACTATTATTGAATTTTGCCTCTGGGGCATCTGCACAATATTCGATATAAAACGTTAACCTCTGAGGGATTTAGAAGTTGATTACAGAATATTAATGATATATGGCTTTGTATGCCAGGATTATGATCCGATCATAAGTCCGGGACACCTCCGAGGTGCTGCCCAAAGGGTCATTGTGTATGTGGAGTTTGTATGTACGATATTATCATAGGCCAATAAATAGCGACATAGCGGCACATAAGAGCCAATGCAAATTTATATGGTGGTTGTGTTCTTTTAAGATTTAAGTACGGAGGACCAGTTTTAAATGCATTTTGATTTGGATATCTTATGCTTATAAACGTGTTGATAGACCAAATGTTTAGCTAAATATTTTTTTCAATTTCAAACGAATGGAAAGACACCATAATGATATTGTGTACATAGGCACTACAATACTTCTCGACGAACATATTTATAAATAATATCACTAAATCTGATTAAAAAAATAACAAGCACAAGAAACTGTAAATGCAACTTACTAATAAATTTGCTATATCATAGCTATATATATATATATATATTACAGTTTTATTCACAAATGGCTGTTCAGACTTCAATATAAAACTATGCTTACTTACCTAGTCCTACCAGCGCTATGGCTAGGGCCGCTGTTAAGATGCTTACTCTACTCTGCATTGTGTCGAACAAAATGAAGTTGCCATCAAGGATTATCAAGGGTTATGGTAATATAGGAATAAACGGCAGAAGACATCATCATATTTTGAGACATTGACATGTATGCAAATAAAGATTACAATATTGTAACGATATATACCAACCGGATGTGTTTGTGTCAACATTCACAACTACAGAAACAAGGACTATTTTTTGATAAATTAGCCTTTAATCATACAAACAAAACAGATCGAAAGATATATTTGACGTATTATTGCCTCAACCGATGCTTTTGAATGAAATTACAAATTACCAACTGTTATGGCGCACCAATGTAATGATTTGAGAAATGGGATAAAACACAGAAAGCATATGCTTCACCTCATGTGGTTATGCCAACATCTCAATTTCCATTGGATGATAGAATAATTACGTGATGTTACATATAAGATAATGTAAGGTATAATTCTTACAATCGCCCCCCTGATATTGATATATCTCATACCTCCTTATATTAATTCAAAACCTTTAAAATGCAATTTTACTTGTGCTTTCTGGACATATTTATTGAACAACATATTGTATTGAGAGACGAGACTTTTTAAGTTCGCATTTGAAAATTCACCGATCGTGCATAATTCTAGACTAGTACTTATACCATAGATACAAATTCACCGCATATACAAAAGTGTTACCACATATTGTACTCCCACAAATATTTGGCGCTATCATATTTCACGTTTTTGGCATTTTGATATTTCGCGCCTATTTTATTTCGCTAATTTTCAGATTTTTAAAATTTTGCGGCTCTTAATGTCCGCGGACTTGTCATACAAGATCACTCTTTCGAGTTTGATAACAGTGATGGTTGTTCCTTCACCCAATGGTTTTGCCTTTTCGATAGAATAATCATTTAAATACACTAATAACGATCTCTCTTTTAATTTCTCTATTTCAAAACTAAAAATGTGGACGAAAAGTGGACGAAATATTGTCAACATTGAAATCCCCGGAAATTTCCTTGGAATTTCGCGACTATCAAATTTCGCAAATTAAAACTGGGTGAATTTCGCGGCTATTATATTTCGCGAATTTTTCAAAATCACGAAAAACGCGAAATATAGTATCGCTCGAAAATTACCGGGAGTACAGTATATATATACATAAATCGAATATAATTGTGCAAAAACAAATAAATTTATGACATGTTTCGAAATGATAAGATAAAATGGAATGCAAAAGTACATGTGACTTCTCAGAAAGCAATGTTAAAAATTAATGTTAAATCAAATATTATATTCTCGAGTAGACAATTTCGCTCAACACTACGGGTTTTGAAAATAGTATAGTTTCAGACATCCCAGCCTTTTTGATAGCTGAGCATCTGATATTGCTCGCTGATATTTGCTTCATATCATATCTAGATCGAAAATAAAATCATCCTTCTAAATAATCAATACATGTTTAAAAACATAGCAGCCCAAACATGGTAGCAACCACCGCCGCGGGCAATTCAAAAATGCAGCAGAAATAATTACTAATATGTGAACAATGATACCGTTATGGAACATTACGTAATGTAATTGTTATGCACTTAAATGGGCAAATAAACGCATGGCAATCTCTTTCCTCATCTTTTATAGTAATGTAATTCAATCAGCAATCAGCGAATAGAAGGAAACGATGAATCCTGAATAAATATTATGAAAGCAAAGCTTACTTCTAAAATACACAGTCATTCAAAAACAACAATTTTTTGCAGCAATGAATTTGTCTTTATTAAGCAATCAATTGTTCATATAATAAAATATGTAGATCATAATTGTTTCGTCTTTAACTGTTTCAGGTTTGGTGTCTGGGCGGCCGTCGTGTTGTTATCTTTTATTAGGGTACTGAAACAAGATATTTAGTCAAGTTATCACAAAATTTAACGGTTTGATCTCTTATTCCAATTGAATACCTGTCCACGTGAAAATGTTTATGTTATATATGAATTTATTATCATTATTTGACATATATATTAATTGTAATATTCAGGGAATTAATTTTTTACCGCAGCACTTTAATATTTTTGTTTCCGACGGTTGCGGTATAGTGCAGTCCCCAGTGCTGCCATCACATTGCTCACATGCCTTGATCCGTGTGCAAGTTGTTTCCAATAACTGGGTACAAGGTTGTCGTTTTCGTTTTGGATAACCGGGATAGTCAACGAAAGGTTGACAGTTCGGTGTATCACAACTATCCCACAGTCCCCAGTCGCCCCATCTTGGACAAGCTGTTGTAGCAGTTGTAGTTGTAGTTGGTGTTATTGTTGTTGTTGTTGTTGCTGATGTCGTAGTGGGAGTTGGCGTCGGTGCTGTTGTTATTGTTGTTGTTGGACCTACACACAATCGGTTATTTCTATGAGTTATAATCGGCACTGTGATTGTTCCGTCATGTATCATGTGACCAAAAATATCACAGGGTATTTAATTCGTGTGTAAATCATCCATATGAAAGGTTCATTTTCAAGAAAAAATACAGGTATTCAACAAGTGTACGTTACATGTTTATTTTATGTATTCCCAGGGAAACCACATAAGATATTTCTTCCTTTGGAAAATTTTTGTCGGACGTTTTATAAAACCAATTTTAGTTGAAAGTAAACAGGATTTTAAATGGATTAATAAGTGGTCATACTTAGAGACTACTCAGAGAAGGATTAGAACGAGTAAAGAGTATTTAAATGAGAGTGAAATCGACATTGCAAGTTGTTCCAAAGAAAATTTGAATAACATTTTGGTGAACTTATCTCAGTGCAACTACAAAATCAGGCTGATATTACAATATAACTTGTTTAGTGATATAATAAAACAAATATTGAATTCTTGTTTCGTGCAATACCTGTATACATTTCTGAGGGGTGGGTTCCAATCGCCCTTCGGCTGCGTGGAATACACCCTCAGAAATAAATACCCTCCGTAAAGAAAAAAAGATGCAAGGTTATATCCTTGTTATCATACCAAACATAAGAGGTACGGTGTATGTATACTTTGACTTTGAGAATGAATTGAGAATGCCAAAGAATTTCGTAGATATGGTAAAAAGTTAGAAAGCATTGAATAGAATAGCTAACAAAATCGTCAGTGTGACTGTGTTAGATTTCCATCTTATTTCTAAAGATCTCCACCACTTATTCACAACATTTATACAATACGCCTCGAAGAGTTTAGATTTCCATCTTATTTCTTAAGATCTCCACCATTATTCACAACATTTACACGATATGCTTCGAAGAGTTTAGTAAAATTATACAAAATATTGAAAATTTTCTGATTGCCCATGCACCTTTTTAATTTTCTTTACAGAGGGTACAATTATTGCACTCAAAAGGATTGGTTATTTGTATCATATCGTATATTTGTATTTTAGGATTTGGTGTCACGTGTTTCTATGTGCCTATCACACATTCGCAGCCATTTGAATAGACATATAAGATAATGTTGACATCTCGTGTGTTATATTGATCAAACTTCTATGGTGAACTATACCCACTTTGTGAATTTAATGGCCTTTGATAATCGTGAACGTTTGTTACAATTTAAACTACCCTTGTGCCTCTTCTATAAGTCATAACAAATAATCAATCACCATACCTGGATTGCAGCAAGTGCGATTTTCTGTTTTGTATGACACTCCTACGCATCCCTGGTGCTTATATCCGTAGTAACATGGTGTACATTGCCTTACAAATTGACATGTGTATGTTATGATGACACACTCGAACTGCCGCTTCTCTCTCATATTTTGGATTTCGCGTTTTCTACCTGTTGGATCCAATGGGGTACAACCTGCTGGTGGATCACAATTACCGGGAACAACCATCCATGGTCCCCATATACCACAACCATGTGCTAATTCATAAACGTTGATTAATGCATTAACATGTTTAGATGGCCTTTTATTTTCCACAATTGTTTGCTAATAAATAAAAGCTTGATCAAGCACGCTCAATGGCTCAAATTTAATCGTTTGTGAGTAAACTAGCCCCGGGGGTATAGCATATATTTCCAAAGATAAATTATGAGCAATGATTGCCATAGCCATGCTCAAATAAATTCACTATTACAGCCAATCATTTCTGGCCATCTCTTCTTTTTTAGTTTAAAGGTCAATGACACTCCTAATTTTGTTTACATTTTCGATGAATGTATCCACTGTATGTACAGTGATCGCCTATTATTTCAAGTACGTGAGTGTATTAACTTTGACTCGCCAACATCCGCAAAATTCAAAATGTCGGAGGAAAGGTATGTTTGTTTCTCTTTTCTTTACCACTGCTATATTATTTTACCTACACAGGGTATTCCATATGCTATATAAGAGACTCAAGATTCATTTGGCAAAATGATTCAGTGATTGGCTCAACCAAAATGCCTGAATTGAGTTGATAAATGAAGCAAAATCAATAATCCGTCGAACGAAAATGTCTATTTCACCAAATTTTCTATTTTTAGATCACCAAAACCAAAAACCAACATACCTATGGGTAATACACATAATACTTAACATTCCAAACATAGCAGACGTTCCAACTTCCCTTCAAAACCGAGTTAAAGGGATGCTATGAAAAATAATTATGATCAGCCAAATGTGAGAGTTTACCATATTGATTCTAATAATATTATGTTCTTTGCATTTCGATATGGTTGGATTCACACGTTATTACTGTCCTTCTATACGAACTCCTAAATTCCCAAAACCTTATAAACCACGTTGTAGAACATCATACCTTGGAATCAGAGGGTGAACTTTCTGTCCTAGTCTTATTATTTTGTCAGAGATTGATTCAGGATTTTAATGAATGGGATATCATATTATTCGGCCTACATTATCAACTTCCTATGAACTAGGTAAATAGAACAACCTGGCCAGTCAGCCTATAGCTTGATTTTCAAGACTTTAGTTCCTCCAACTTGGAATTCGAAGATGGTCAACCTCATAAGTGAGGGGTTTGATTGAGTTGACCAATGAAATAGTGCATATGAAATCAAACTACTGGTAAGCGAGTATAGTCGACAATACCCATTTGAAATACAATAGAACCTTTATAAGTGGAACGCCATTGGTTGTTTTAAAAATTGTTCCACATATTTCGGCCATATGGTACCTAGTAGTAAGATAAACTCAATGTTATAACCGTATTTTCTATTGAGCTCTACTTCACGTACTGCATACGATCTGGTGGAGTTATGTGTTCTTATTACAGAGGTTTATTAACATGGACTATAAAAAACTGTTCCACTTGTGAGGTGAGGTGCTCCACTTAGCAGGTTCTACTGTACAGATCATTAAAGGGTAATTGTATTCAAACCTTAAGACAAAAAACGAAACAAAATATAAGCACACACAGTGACCATTTTATTTAATGAATCAGAGGACGGTGATGTTTATTTTCCCCAAATAAATATCATATTTGGTTTTGGACATAAATTTTGCGAGAAACCCCCTTATTCCTATGATCAAAATAAAAAATTTCTGGGTGTCTGGTCTGCTGAAACTCACACTATAGGCTGATCCATTAATTTCTGTGTTCAAATATTTACTCAATGTTATTAAGAGGAAACAAATTTTATCATGGTCAAATGGAAACCCAAGACCTAGCCTTAGTATAAGAAATTAAAGAGTGTAAAAATATTATTTTGTCTTTAATATATTAAAGCATTTTACCCAGTAGCCTGTAAAATAAACACCAATGAATCATTTAAAAATAACCATTACAATACATTTGAATTTTGCGGATCTCGTCGAGTCATTTCTCACGCACTTGTGTTAATAGGCGATCAATGTATATACGGTGATATCACTTATTTTGCTGCTCAAAATGAAGATTTAGAAAAACCTATACGCGTATGCATGAACACAGGTTCATGTTTAGGTTGTCCGTGCATATTATCCTCTCTATTTAGTAAACGCTTATGAATATATGTATACGTTTATACACCTGTGCCACCATTTGCCATTTGAATAGTACGAACACAAATAAACATTAATAAGCATTTTATATTAAGATGGCACCACTTTTCCATAGTAATGTGCTAATAGATGAACGCTAATGGATGTATTTCTGTTCATTTTGGGTTGTAATAAGTATAGGATATCCAATTCATTTTGAGTGATATCATTTATATCCACGAGTTAATATCAATATCTGTGCGAGTAAAATTACCGAATGAGTACTTATATTGATATCAATGAGTGAATTAATATAAAAGTATATAATGAAAAATCAAAGTATGTAGACATGCTTACAAGTAGAGTGTTACTTACGAGGTGAATGAGTCGGAGGGGGTGTAGAATATGGTTGGCTATAGCAGCATGCCTTGTTTGTATATTCTATTGAAATACCAACGCATTGGTGATAGCCAAAGCAATGGCAATGACGAGTAAGTTGTTACTTACGAGTTGGATGAGTCGGAGGGGTTGTATATGAGTGACTATAGCAGCATTCCTTGTGTTTATATTCTATCGAAAGACCAGTGCATTGATGATTAGCGGCCACACCACTTCGTTTTCCAGTACAATAACACTGACGGGTTCTATGGCATTTTGAAATTCCATGAATTTGACAATCCGTAGTAGCAGCTGAATGACTCCTAACGCAAGTACCGTATACCCATTCAGTCCAATCTCCCCAGTAGCAGTCTAAAAACATAAAGATATATTGAAAGGATTTTCAAATGCAATGGCATTCAATGTAGCGACGACATTCTTACGAGTAAGTTGTTACTTACGAGTTGGATAAGGCGGAGGGGTTGTATATGAGTGACTATAGCAGCATGCCTTGTGTTTATATTCTATTGAAAGACCAGTGCATTGATGATTAGCGGCCACACCACTTCCACTGCAATAACACTGACGGGTTCTATGACATTTTGAAATTCCATGAATCTGACAATCCGTAGTAGCAGCTGAATAACTCATAACGCAAGTACCGTATACCCATTCAGTCCAATCTCCCCAGTAGCAGTCTAAGCAGCATGGTTTGTGTTTATATTCGATCGAAAGACCTGCGCATTGATGATAAGTTGCGACACCAGTTCGTTTTCCAGTGCAATGGCAATGACGGGTTCTTTGACATTTTGAAATACCATGAATTCGACATGTCGCATCAGCAGGTAATTGGTTCCTAACACAAGTACCGTATTCACATTCGGTCCAACCTCCCCAGTAGCAATCTAGAAGCATAATGTTATATTTTGAAATTTTTTTGAAATGCCATGAATGTACTTTCCGATTCATCAAAACACGAAAGGGAATAATAATATCATTAGATAGGTGTGAAAAGTGTTCAGGACTTTTTTTTATATCTTTGCAACAAAGCGGCAACTTTGACCTCCGGAGGCAATACCCTTATCCTTAGCTCATGTCTATAGTGTATAAACATTAGTTTTAATTAGGATGTGATGAGTCTGGCTTGTATTTGTATTGTATTGAATCATCCACTCTATTTGGAAATTGCCTTTAGGTATTTTTCAATATATACATAATTATATATTCTATATTCGATGTTACAGGGTGTCCGGAAAGTAAAGATACAAATACTCTTATTTTAAGAGATTTTGTTTTTTTGTAATGAAATTGCTACAGATTGTAGAGGAACTTTATTACAATACATCTACCAACTTTTATAACATATAGTCTTATCACGTTAAAGTTACGGTTGTCATGGTTACGGTGGTCAGGGGTATGCGGAGCAGTTCCAGGATATTACTAAATTGTGATAAATTGCTAAAATATAACCATTTGAAACAGTGTTTATTATTGTATTTCCTATCAATGTTTTGTTTTGTTCAATATTGTTTTCTTGCTGCCATAGTATTCTCTTTAGTTTAATGATATCATTGATACATATCAGAACTATATAATGTCACCAGTATAATCAAAGAAAAAGTATATAAGTGCTTAGAAAAAGGGACCCTGGATTAATAGAAAAGTCAATAGTGCACCTCCACAGTCAATGGACCAATTCACAAAGCAAAGAAAACAAATCTTACAATTGAATGTCTTTACATTAAACCTTTTTGTACATAGCCCATTATTTGCCTGATAATGTCCCGTTGGACTTCTACATTAATGCATATCTTAAGCAATATTTGTTAGAAGTTCAACATAAAAATGAGATTCGGCTGGAAGCCAATGGTAGCAGCAATCTTAGAGATGGGCAGCGGCGGTTTTGTCAGGTCTTGGAATCTCCGGTCAAAATGCACCAAGAATGTTAAGATAATGGTGGGAAATACATAATACTGGATAACAAAAGTAATGCCAAATGACTAAATAATGTTTCAGTACTAATCCTTTTGCTCTTGCGGTACATAGTTTGATGTATAATAGCATAAGATGACAAAGTGTCAAGATGATATGAACTGGAGAAAAGAAATATAAAGCAGAATTGTGATGCTGCTCCACATACCTCCGACTCCTGTTACCATAACAACCATAACCTTTTTTATTTTGAAACAATTTGTCATGACAGTTGCGGGATAAATTGTTACAATGTCATTCTACAATCTGTAGCAAATCTGGCCATTCTAGGTGGTACGTTCGTATCGCCTAGCGCCTAACCAGATCCAGTTTTATAGACCCAACTTGTGAATAGAAATATAGATTATAATATTATTTACATCCAACACGAATATGTTTTGTTCAATTCACAACAAGCAGTTCTAGGGAGTATCACAAATATATATATAGTGTAGAGTCTGTAATCGTTTTATCTATTTTCGTTTTAACAAAGATACATTCTCAAAATTTATGTCATACCTAACTACGATATTGACTATCATTGTACTAGTGATACATGTAATTCGATTGATTACTCACTTATGACGGGAGGCGGGTAAGTTGGAGGAGGTGTAGGTGGCGGGGGCTCCCAGCACGGCTGAATATTACACAACTGGGTTCTCACAACAACAGTGTCCGAGCCATAGCAATATGTGTCCCCAGTCTCTGCATAGCCATATAACTTAGTCCGTTTACGTGTCACTGTTAACATGCCACCCCCACAACTTGCAGAACATTGGCCACGTTTCTCCGCACCATATTCGCTCCATCTACATTCTACGTTAAATCAATATTTGATAAATGTTGATTTGAGTGTTAGTGCAGATTCTGTATTGGTTACATTTATTTGATCTAAACAATATCCTTTAAACAATTATGATATGCCGAACTGAGATTTTGTTTAGTATAGTTTTAGTGATGCAATTCGACTGGTTACTCACTTTTCCCTATAATGGGAGGCGGGGTAGGTTGAGGAGGTGGAGGTGGCGGAGGCCCCCAACATGGCTGAATATTACATGATTGGGTTCTCACATCAGTGTTCGAACCATAGCAATTTCGGTCCCCGGTCTCTGCATAGCCATACAACTTGTATCTTATACGTGTCACTGTTCTTATGCCACCTCCACAAGTTGCAGAACATTGGCCAAGTTTCTCCTCGCCATATTCGCTCCATCTACATTCTGTGTTAAAAAACAATATTGAATGAATGTTGATATAAGTCGCATAACATAAGCCAAATTTCTCCTCGCCATATTCGCTTCATCTACATTTAAATCGATATTGAATGAATGTCGATATAAGTTGCAAAACATAAGCCAAATTTCTCCTCGCCATATTCGCTCCATCTACATTCTACGTTAAATCAATATTGAATGAATGTTGATATAAGTCGCAGGACATAAGCCAAATTTCTCCTCGCCATATTCGCTCCATCTACATTTAAATCGATATTGAATGAATGTCGATATAAGTTGCAGAAAATAAGCCAAATTTCTCCTCGCCATATTCGCTCCATCTACATTCTACGTTAAATCAATATTGAATGAATGTTGATATAAGTCGCATAACATAAGCCAAATTTATCCACGCCATATTCGCTCCATCTACATTCTACGTTAAATCAATATCGAATGAATGTTGATATAAATCGCAGAACATAAGCCAAATTTCACTGCACCATTACTACTCAATCTTCATTCTACGTTAAATATCTTAGCACAAGTGCCAAAAGGATGGAGACTAAAAACCTCAAAGAAACCCAGCGAGAAATGCAGACTCTAAGTTTAGACTTGTCATAAGAAAAATATACTCTATATATCTCAGAACTATGATCTAATGTGAAAGAAATGGGGTGCAAAACCATTCCCTTCCCCCAAACAAGAGTCAACATCACAATTCAGGACAATATTGGATAAAGAGTGAATACCTATAAACACCTCTAGGGCTCACTTGAAAAATGCATTGTCGTTAATATCCTTAATATCTACCTAGGATCAAATTGCAGTTAAATATGTATATTTTCAAGAAAAAGCAATAAAAACACCCAAGATTACTGATATAAATCTATTTTGGTTGATTTGGGAAGTATGTATCACTTCCTGTGAAAGTGTGAATTTTTTATCAGTCTTAGAAAATGTCTCCAAAATGTATAAACCCAATTTGGCAGATGTCCTATTGTTTGATTGCGTCACTCTATACACGCATTGGATTGATATTTTGTACACACAAATAGTCATATTCAAATAGTCATTGAGTGGGGATTAGTTATGTTTGCAATTGTGTTGACCTACTTATTTTTAGAGAGAGCAAGTTCATGCTAAACTCTTGCTTTGTTCAAATAATGCCTGGTTCTTACCGAGAAAGTAATACGTAGTAAGGGAAAATGTACTTCTAAGGTACTTCTTGAGATATGTAAAAATCTAGGTAAGGAGAAAATAGAACTGTTAAGCAATTTTCAGCATGAAATAAAATGCATATGATGTCAGTCACTTTGAAAATCATTAGAATAATTGTGACAATTCTGTTTTATATATTCAAGTATATCTTCTTATTTCATATGATAATGTCATTAACTAATATGCATGCTTGCACTTAAGCATAAATGTACATGTAAAAGTGAGATGATTGTTATACAATCATTCAATCCCCATGTGACAAGTGTCATTTTTGTCAATGAATAATATTTTTATACTATCACAGTTCATTGGCTGATCCTTCCAATGTTCTTATTTAAAAAATCCAGCTCGACTTTATTGTTTAGAAGAAATATAAGTCAAAATCAGAAGGTGGGAAAATGACATTTGCTAATAAATTGCCCAAAGCAAAGGGGATTGTATGAGTGAACTGCAATCACTCAGACCTCCTATGTGGGGACAGAGGGTTACATCTACTGTAATAAGTGATTCCTTCGGGGGTTTTAAAGATATCCATTATGGGTGACCAAAATCAGTATTCCCTTTGAGAAAATAACACGGGAAATATTGTTTTCCACAAAAAGGATTCACTTGAAGGGGTCAACTTTGTGTCAAAACACATATATTAATGCAGGAAAAATTAAAAAAGCAGGGGTGGAAGGGGTTGAAAATTAGGAAAACATTTCAGAAAAACATGGGGGTGGGTTGTTCGCATCTTCCTTGTCTCAAAGTCGAAGTAGTTTCATCATCTCTAGGAGTGCTTTTCTTAGAGGTTATGCATTGGTCTTACATATGCACCTGTTTAAATCCTCGGAAAATAGCCAAAATCCAACATTATGATTGTCAGAAATCTGTTGCAATACTTTCCCTCCTCCTCGTTTCGGTAACCAGCGTAATTTAGCCGATCACCGGTGAATGATATCAACTGCAATGTTATACCTCCATCATAAAGTGCAGAAAGACGTCACTCTATAATAGATTGTTCCGATAAATCCTGCCACATGTAGATAAATATGGAAAACTATTTCAAATTCCACTAATCAAGCAATATGAAATTATATCGGGTTTCTAAATGTGATGAAAAGAGCAGTGTAAAATAATTACTTCAGTGAAATATGTTCTCTTTGATCAAGTTTTGAATATTCGTCATAAGGTATAATCAAAAGTGTGTTATATCCATCGTAAATTGTGTGGATGCCATAGAAACTTAAAAGTCTTTGATGTTTTGATTAAAATATAAAGTTACGATTTCATATACTTACTTCGGGTTGGCCTTGGAGTTGTGGTCGGAGGAGGGGTGGGTGGAACTGGAATAGAAATGAAACATTGATGATGTCTTTTCTGACTATATACAGCCCTTGATAAATATCAAGTGAATATAAAATGTAGAATTCCAATGCAATTCAAACACTAGAACACTAGACCTTTATTGTTATGGATTAGTCATACCTAATGCTCGTTTCGTCCATATCATCAGTAAGATGACAATGTCAAAACTATTTTAAATGATGAAGTAGTTTTGACGATTCTAAAGGAGTAGGATGAATGTTTTCTATAGAATCTTAGAAGCAGGCGCAGAGTAACCATATGAAGCCGGTCTCTACTAATCCGAGGAGGAGCAGTAGGATGAGGACTATATAAGCGCAAATGACAAAGGGAAAGTGACTAAAAACTTTAAAGAAACCCAACAAGACAAGCAAACTGTAAGTGTCAATCTGTCATAAGAAAAGTAGACCATATATATCCCAAAACCATGATCTAACGTGAAAAGAAACAACGTCTAACATCCCCCTTCCCCCTGGGGGGAGGTCAGAGGCCGACGTTATATGACTTCTCTGAAGCTGGGTTCTTATGGTTACTAAAAACCAATGCATAATTACCACGACAACAACCAGGATCAATTCTAGGATTGCACAATGTCATAGGCCCTGGTGATTCAAACATAAGAATAAAGAACTGCACTTTCAAATGTTTCAAATAAACTTTACTCACTTCTACATTTATCCATGCAATATTGGAGTTCATCGGGCATCGGTTTAGATTTTTTCATACAATTCTTCCAACACTTGTCGTCACATTTAGTTCCCTAAAAACAAGGAAACCAATGCATAGGGAAAATCCTTGTTTTAAAGCATTTGTTTTGTTGAACATAGCAAGGATATGTCACACCTTAATTAAAGAGCAGAACAAGTGAAGCAAAATTACAACAGACTATTCTTTTTAGAAGGGTCAAATGAGTTAATCTTCCATACTGAGTATGAGTAATTATAGAATTAAAGAGGTTATTTGATAGGGGTGATGGAATATTGATTATTTTCCGTTATTATTTTGTAGTTTGTCATTTTCATGTGAGATTTGACATCACACACTGATGATGACCTAGAATGATACAACTTGATTGTTATCATATATTAGTAACATTTTCAAATTATATTATATTTCACTAATTTTCATTTTTTTTAAATTTCGCGGCTATTCTGTGAATTTGTCATACAGGATCACTCTTTCGGCTTTGATATCAACCATGGTTGTTCCTTCAACCAATGGTTTTGCCTTTCGTGAATTTTTCAAAACTAACGAAAAGCGCAAAATATAGTAGCGCGCGAAAATTACCGGGAGTACAGTATATATGTACATAAATATAATATAATTGTGCAAAAAACAAATTTATGACATGTTTCGAAATGATAAGATAGAATGCAATGTCGAATGTCTGTAATCGAATACAAAAGTGCATGTGACTTTTCAGAAATCCATGTTAAAAGTTTAAGTTAAATCAAGTATTATATTCTTGAGTAAAGTCCACCTGTGTAGCTCAGCGGTAGCGCATGTACCTCCTGCGCAATAGGTCCCAGATTTGATCCCCGGTTCAGGCAAGACTAAATTTGCTTGTTTGCGTGAAGTACTTCAGGGTGTTTGACTGAGTGGTCCGCAACTCGTACAAAAGGCTGTGGTGTGTACGTATGTCTATGTATAAGTGCACATAAAAGAACACAGGGCTCCTTCAAGGAGGGGTTTCTGGGTCTATCTTCAAGGTTAATTACGTAAATTACGACCGTAGTAGCCTTGCCCAAGTCGGTATTTTTTTACTTATCCGATCTTGAATTATTACCGCCTTGTACAATCCAATACATCTCCGCTGTTATTATGCTGAAATATTCAACGGTTTCGAGATTTCCGTAATCCCTAAGCTATCAGGGGTATCGCGAAACCTTATTGATTGACAGATATCGCGTGGACACGACGTGTGACTTCAGGCTGAATGACCAATCAAAACGTTATCAGGTTGAGCCGCATAAACAAAACAAACTTCACATCTACGACTTGAAATTCAATGATCTGATCGAGTGTTTCGTTAGACATACAATATATAATATTATGTAATTAAATGTACATTGGAAGGTAAGAGTCATTAATATAAATTAAATCATGCGATTCAATGTTGATTTAAAACTGATTTCGCTATGAAAATGCACGAAGACCTAGTCCAATTTAGCGGGTCATGTTGTCGTCGATCGGTGATCGAAGCCTACATGTTAGGCGATCGTTTCAACGTTTATTGTTGAAATCTTCTCACCTTTGGTTATCCGATCGATGCCCCGGCATCCACTAAACTCTCATTGATATTTATCTGATAAAATATTTGTATTTTTATGATGAATTCGTGCTCAGATTCGTGCGAGATTTGTTCGTGAAAAGTCCCGGTGAAAAGTGTACTTGTTTTTGACCCTGCATAATAATGAGCTAACGCTACAGGGCCGTCGTTGATTGGTCAAATTATACCGACATCAACAAACTGTCGGTTAAGCACGTGGCTTTCTCTTTGGTACAAGGCGGTCATAATAGAAATCAAGATAAGTAAAAGAGACCGACTTGGGCAAGGCTACGACCGTAGATATACGGGATATATCCCGTGTTCAATATTAAGAAGACGAATTGTAATCTTAAATATAATACAATAAATAGCCATACCGGTTTCAGATTGCAGATTTTCTTGCAGCGTTTTCCATAATTGCATTTGGATTTGCAGGGCTTGCACATCTTTTTCTTGCCCTTTCCTCCACCCTTGCCAGCATAACTCTCAGAAACTATAATGCAATTACATTTTATATTTTCAATACTGATGTCACATAATAGTACACTATACTGTACTATTTAAATGAATCTTAATCAGTTAACAATTCATAACGAATCAATAAGAATATCAACTATTCAAAAACAATTTATCAGTTGAATTTAAAAAAAGGATATACCCTCTTTTCCAAAAAAATCTGTGCGTGGCCTTGCAATGCAGTACTGAGAAGCTGTCGTGCAAGACTTTTCGAACGACCCTTGTATTAAGGAGTGAATCTAATTAGAAAGTCTTAACAAGAAATAACTAAGTGAGAACGCCAGTTACCTTGATTCCTGTATATATTAAGCTATTTACCCATATAGCTTTAGTTGTATATATGTAAAGCAAAACTGACGACCATTTGGGAATTTTATTGCATTATTTGTCAAAATATTACTGAAGTAATTTTAAAAGTTCACCTTTATCAAAGTAAACATTTGAGAATATGTTTCAAAATATTACTGTAAAGCTGTAAAAGTAGATTCAACGTATCAATATTTCCATTCGTTCTTTCTTAGTATCAGTTATGTATAATTCTTTTTTAAAGAATATCGATATAACTTTTGGAACATAAAGACGATATATAATCATAAAAGCTGGGATTACTATTTTGTTCCAAGGTTAAAGTTTATATTTGGGCGAAATAAACTCACTTTGGTTATTTTCCAATTAAACATATTTTTAAATGTTAAGACTGACTTTTGGTAATATTTCTGAATTTGAATTTGTCATTCAGGTCTCTAAGATTCTTGTCATGCTGATGAACAAAAGACCAAAGAAAAGGTACATGTAACTAAAATAAACACCTAAATTAAAAGTAAATAGAAAGTGCACTACGAAGAAAAGCCATCGTTGGATGAATATCAAAGCTTTAACATAAACAATACACTAGTAAATATTAGAAAGAAATACCAGAGCGGTATTATCATTATTTCCAAGTGATTGTATTTTTACCATTTCATTAAAAGATATATTAACTCACCTAATAGTGCCAGTCCTATGACAAGGACAGCAATAAAGATGCGTCCAGTATGCATTGTGTCGAAAAAGCACAAATTGACGTGTTAGCAACTATACATAACAATACCGTTGCAATGTGTCAAATAGAGTATTTCATGCTTTTAATTCACAGCAACTGAAACAATTCAAAACTTTTGATATATTAGTCCTTAAACACACACAACCGAACAGATCGAAAAATTTATTTGACGGCCTATTTTTTCAACTAATTCAACTGAATAAAAGTATAAAATTGCCATTGTTATTGAATAATATATTATGCCCCGTTATAATGATTTACTAAAGAGCAACAGAGCATGCGCATGCGTCACCTCCTGTGCTTATGTGAAAATCGCCCGATCTCTATTTTGATTGGATGCAATTGTAATCACGTGTTGACGTTTTATATAAGATTATTGATTTGTTCATGTTTTTTCTTATTTCGCCATCTATTGGATAATCAGTCTTAAATTTCTAAATAGAGCGATATCACCATTTATTGCGCAGCTCTACCTGTATATGTCCACAAGTGTGATATTCTTATGAATCATTGCCAATACCTTATATTTCATATTAGTGTTTTAGTTGTCTTGTATTGTGATAATGGTACTTGAATGCTATGGGAAGGGGTATTAGAAATTGTTTATTTTCAAGTTTGATATGGGATACTAGTAGTTGTTTTCCTTATGAATGTTCTACTCTTTTATGCTTTTTTTACTTGCTGTGTTCTTTAATACTGGTAATGCTTATTGTGAGTCCATTCCCTTTTAACATTTGCATACATATTTGTAGCCGATCACACAAAAATGATCATGTCAAGTATCTTACAAAATTTCAAATTCAATTTACAATTAATCAATCATATTCATGAAAGTATCGACAACACAAAAACGACCATCCCAAGTATATTACAAAATTTTAATTTTACAATTAATTCATCTTATTCATAACTATATCAACTCATTCGTAAACACATGAATAAATTGACGAATTGCGACGTTCGTTACTATGACCGCTTCACAAAACAGGCAGCAAAAATATATGACTGCTGAAGATCCAAGATCCTGGGTTCAATCTAGCATGCAGTGACAGGAGCCAGCTTATGCTAAAAAGTACACCAGAGAAGTAGATTACTAGAGTGATACACTACCATACCTAACACCTAGAAATGCATAAGATACTTTGTTTGTCTAATTGGATTGTTTAGTATATTTTTTAAAGTACCTTATCAACATCTAACTTTCAACCGATAAACCATTAATAAGGAACAGACAAATAAAAACAAATATATAATCATTACTAATAAGCCAAATGGGTTGCTCATGAAAGCCAAATGCAAGGTATAGTAGTGTGTAACTCGATAAAAGGCCTATGCTGGCTTGAATTGTCGGTGGTCCTAGCGAGGATAAAGATACCAGCTCCTGTCAGATTAATACGGGGAGTTGTTTCTACCTTAGGGTATCATGTTACATTATCCTACAACACGTATATGCCCGTTTGAGATATGTAATTAACTCAAATGAAAATGAAAAAAATTAGTATAATATATAATTTATGTCCCAAAAATGGAGCCGCTTGACAAGAATTTTCTCAGCAATGGATAAGCCGAATTCTTTGGAAATATTTAATGATGAACTATAGGGTATCATAATTATCCCGTCCTTTATTGTATGTGTGACTTCTAGTTTGGGGTGATTCCCCATAGACCACATGTTCCAAAAATTACAAAAAAATATATGAAATATCTTTTCTAGTATTGGACAGGTAACATTTTCTTTCACTGGGCATAATTCAATTTGCATAACTATTAGATACATTAGGGTTATATGAAAATTGAACCACTAAAACAGATGTAATTTAATTTAAAGGGAACTTACCATGCTATCTGACCCGAACGAGTCACCTGATGATGAAACTGGTAACTACCTACTCGCATCTGCGTTATTCATGTTCCACCTATCCTTTAACATTGAAACAGTTTCTAAAAGTAGCCTTGTTGCTTTCACTGAAAGGCATCCTCAATCCTTCCAAACTTACATTTTGGACAGAACGGTTTTGGATACAGAGTAATATGTACAGAAATACTAAATTTTTGGCGTTTCCTCACTGTAAGAAGCAAGGGACATTTTAGAAGACATGCACAGATTTGCCTCTAGTGCAAAAGTGACCATTGGAGCATGTTGTTTAAAGTGCTGTAAAATCGAAACTATCATTCTGATGGCCATGGAGTACGATATTAGCAGGCTGTTGATTGAATGATGTACAAATTATGGAAAAAATCAAGGAGTATTTTTTTTTAATGACAGAGATGTGTGGAAAATAGTGGCAGGGTTTCCATTTCTGACCACCCTGTATATAAATATATATAAATTGTTTATCAGGTTGTATCTTTAAGATACATTAATGAATATTTGTGAACGTGTTCAAGTTTCAAGCAAAATATTTAGTAGCCCAGACAAAATTGTTCAAGGGTCACTTTTTCTTGAATAACTTGTTTTAATTTTCAGTATAATCAAAAACAGATTACATATTTAAAAACTAGAGTAATATTTTGTCTCATTTTGTCTCATATTTGTTCAAACATGGCAGCAATTTTCGTGAATTTGAATGTTCTGTTGGAAATTGTCATAGGTTTCTAGGGTCATGCTGTTAAAGATACAATCCTGATGTAATGCATCATCTGACCAATCTTCAAATACAACAAGGCATATTCCGGGGGTCATGAACTGAATTCTTTTGAAATGGTCGTGGTTGTGTTCAAGAGGATGTTATTAAGTGGCATCCCTATGTTTGGGGTGTGATGAGAGTGGGTCCAAAATAATCTCAAGGGCCCAAAACAGCCATCTCAAAGGCCCTTGTAAAGCTAAGGAAAAATTCAAATGCATTCCAAGGATGGGAATGACATGAAAAATGGTAAAACGTGCACGCGAGGTGTACTCATTCGAACTTTGTCTCCACTGAGATATTCTGTAGAAGGGTGCCTATATAGGATGGACCATATTTACCGCGCCCCAATATGCAATCTTGGATAAGTTGTGCTGCATTTTGTGTTCAATCCTTACATATTGCTTACTTTCGCGCCTCGTTTGCTAAACAGTAACTTATATTTTCTATCGTTTTGAAGTATGAATGAGATTGAAAATAATTTTCTGATCATTTTGTTAGCAGTTGCTGAAATAGAACGAGGTTAGATTCTGAGTGTAAAGTAGTAGCCAATAGAAAAGTAGTATTTTGAACAATTATTGGATAGAAAAATGGACAATCTCAAAAGAGAATTGACGGCGGAAAACAAATCGTTTGTGAAGAAGCTCAAAAGTGACGAACATTTGTTCAAACACAAGGCGCATTGTGTACAGTATGAGCATAACATGGGCGTGAAAGATTCTATATCAACGGCCATGGAGCAGATTAGCAACAACTCGCCAGAAGAAGCAATGGCAACACTAACATCAGGTATGTCAGCTATAGATCATAGAAACAAGCTAATTAAAATCGCCGATGATAGCGAAACAGGCTGGGCAACCGTAGAAGAGTATGAAAAGAAAGCCATCGCAAGTGATAGCGATGATGATAAAAAGATTAGAAGGGCTCAATCAATTTCATTTAGAAATGTTTCCAAAAAACGTGGAAATAGATTAAACCAAAAAAGGTCAAGTTTCAGAGGCAGCACCGACTCAAGACAACCAGAAGAAGGCACCAGCAGCGGTCAGCAAGCCAAATACAGCAAGACCAGTGGCAATGGTCAGCAAAACCAAAGGAGTGGGCGTTCACGAGAGAACGATATCTGCCGTGCCTGCGGAGGCAAAGGTCACTGGGCCTAAGAGTGTTATTCAACATACATGGAAAAACAGCAGAACACTAGCCAAGGAAAGCAGTAAGAAGGGTACGTTGTCAGATTGTGTTATTGAATCAGAGTCAAAACATGTTAAAGACAGTTTGAAAAGACACATCGAATTTTGGTCACAAGAAATCAATGCGCATAGTTATGTAAAAAGCATTATTTCAAAAGGTTATGTTATTCCCTTTTTATCAGGACCAGACAAAGCAGAACTCAAAAATAATGCTTCTGCTATTAGAAATTCAGATTTTGTAACAGATGCTATTCAAGAATTGCTATGTGATGGAAAAATTGTAGAAACAGAATTTCCACCTCATGTTGTCAATCCACTGACGGTCGCAGAGAGTTCAGCGGGTAAGCGAAGGTTAGTACTAGACCTTAGACACGTCAATCCCTATATTATAAGAGACAAGGTTAAGTTAGAAGACCTTAAGGTAGCTAGAGAGTATTTCAAGAAAGATGCTTATATGTTTTCATTTGATATTAAATTGGATACCATCATATATCTATTGCACAGGTACATCAGAAATATCTAGGGTTCAAGTGGCAAGTAGGTGAGAATACGAAATACAAGTATTATATGTTTACAGTGTTACCGTTTGGTATATCAACAGGAGGTCTTGTATTTACAAAGATTGTGAAGCCTCTTGTCACAAGATGGAGGAGCAAAGGTATGAGTATAGTAGCATTCCTCGATGATGCCCTTTGTGTGTGTCAAACACTTGAAGAAGCGGTGGATCAGTCGCATCAAGTAAGGTCAGATTTGATATCAAGTGGTTTTATACCAAATGACGAAAAGTCAATATGGGAACCAACTCAAAATATCAAATGGTAAGGTTTTCAGATTGATTTGAAACAGTTCACTATATCTATTCCTGAAACCAAACGTCTCAAAATAATGCAGGATGTACATGCGCTGTGTAGCAATAGACAGAATACTACAGCAAGAGAGGTAGCAAGGGTTGTAGGTAAGATTGTTTCTTTGCAACCTGCAATAGGTAATATTTGTTATCTTATGACAAAACATTTACAAATTGTCGTGGCCAGCAGGTCAGGCTGGGATGTAAGAATAGACCTATCTGTAGGTGCCAGGCAAGAAATACTGTTCTGGAGAGACAATTTGCCACACATGGAAGGTGAGAAAATAGAACAATAACAAGTATGTACTAACTTAGTTTATTCAGACGCATCTGGGAACGCCTGTGGTGGGTACGTCGTAGAATATGAGACAGAAAAAGCTCATTATACATTTTCCGATTCTGAGAAAACAAACAGCTCAACCTGGAGAGAACTCAAAGGAGTACAGGTAGTAATACAATCTTTGAAACATAGAATCCAAAATCAAAGAGTCATGTGGTCGACAGATAATCCTAACATTGTAAATATTATCAGAAAAGGTAGCATGAAACTAGATTTACAGTATTAACATTAGCTATCTTTATGCTATGTAAGCAGTTCAACGTCAGGTTGTCAGTTCAGTGGATTCCAAGAGAGAATAATGTCATAGCCGATGAAATAAGTCGCATAGTTGAGACAGAAGATTGGAAAATTGCCAAATGGGTATTTACATGGCTGGACCAGCTTCGGGGTAAGCATACAGTAGACAGGTTTGCTTCTAGCGAAAACAATCAGGTAAACCGATTCAACTCAGAATATTGGTGCCCAGGTACAGAGGCAGTAGATGCATTTTCTGCGAGTTGGAAAGACGAAAATAACTGGCTAGTACCACCAATAAAATTGGTTTGCAAAGCAGTGAAATATGCATGTTTTCAGAGAGCAAGAAGTACATTAATTGTTCTGAAGTGGAACAGCGCGGCATATTGGCCATTGTTGCATAACGGTATCAGGTACCGAGAATTTATCACACAGGTGATTGAGATTCCTATGGGGACAAATGTATATATATAAGGTTCACAGAAAGATTCTGTTCTAGGTAGCAAATTTCACGGTATAACTTTAGCATTGAAGTTATTTTGATGAAAAAATTAATGTAAATGAATCACAGGGTTCGTCAGCCAACAAGGTTCTGGTATAGAATGCATATATTTGCCTTGTAATGTAATATGTTTCAGGTGTATTCGACGAAATAACGAAGACAGAGCAATGGTCAGAATTACAAAAGGACATTACAGAACCAAAGCTTCAAATCCTCTTCGATGAACTACCACGCCAACTATTAAAGTCCAAGGAGGATTCTACGGTCAGATCTTATACTGCTAATTTCAGTAATTTAAAAAAATGGTGTAACACATTTGAAAATGTAAAATATTTACCAGCAAAAACTATTCACGTAGCATTGTATTTACTCAGCTTGATTCAAAATGCAGTGACAGTATAGTGAACAATGAAAATACGCCATAGCATGGGCACATGAAACGGCATGTATACCAAATCCATGCGATAACATAATGATAAATAAACTAATAGAATCAGCTAAAAGATCTCTTGGTCAAGGGACAGTCAAAAAACAACCAATTACTCCAGAAATGTTAGAAAAAATTGTAGACAATTCGGACAATTCATACATTAACCTTAAATCATTAAGAACAATTACATTCATGATATTAGCGTATGCAGGTTTCTTCAGAAATGATGACATTTCTAGGCTAAGATCGAAGGACATACAATTCAAACAAACACATATAGATATATTTGTAGAAAAATCTAAGACAGATGTATATAGAAACGGTAACAGTGTTATTATTGCAAAAACTTGTAACAAGCTCTGTCCATATACATGGTTACAAAGGTATTTTGAAATGGCAAAAATCAAACAAGATTCAGAAGAATATATATTAAGAGCATTGACATTCAAGTCAAATGGTTATGTTCTTAGAAACACAAACTCAAAACTGAGCTATTCGGCTTGCAGGGCTATGGTAATAAATGCCATCAAAAACATAGGTTTTGACTTGGAAAAGTTTGGTACTCATAGTTTGAGAGCTGGAGGGGCTACGGCAGCCGCAAGGTTTGGTATACCTGATAGAGTATTCAAGTCACATGGTCGATGGAAATCAGACTATGAGTATGAAACTAAGGTAGTCATTCTCGGCTTTTTGCCTACACGAGTAACACCTAAATTTCAGCCACAAAAATTGTACAATAGTTAAAATTAAAAAATATGTTATACATTTTAAAATAGAATATACGAAATGGCTCTAATATCATAAAATAACACGTTTATAGTTTATTTTCAGAGAACATGGCCTTCAGGGGCAGCACAAAGAACAAACCATTCTGGACAGTAATGCCTTATGGGTTATAGACGAAGCCTTCTGGGGCTGTATCAGATGAAGCCTTCTGGGGCCGAGCCTTCTTGGACTGTATTATAAAGCCTTCTGGGGCTGTATCAGATGAAGCCTTCTGGGGTTGAGCCTTCTGGGGCTGCATCATACGAAGCCTTCTGGGGCTGCACCAATGAACATTATTCAGGTTTTATAAAAAGTTTAACGGGAGTGAAAGTTGACACCCCGGGTTAACACGTCTTTCTGCCAAGTTCTAAATCTTGTTTTACAGAGTGACTCTGCTTCATTCAGGCGGGTGAACCACCTGCATGTTTCCCTATAAAGGTTTTTTTTCAGGTTGGTAGGCCGAAGTTGAGTCAGAGGCATTTCAGACGTTAACACGGTCTCTGGGACCACATAGCTAACCACGATATAACCAAAATTTCATTGTACCCACATAGACATCAATAAACGTTACTCTCGGCATACGCAGCCATTGCTAAATAAATGATTATTTTGTTCAGTTTGTAAGAGCAAGTGCGGGGAATGATAAGAAAATGCCTATATTCTACGGCGCTCTCCGTATTAGCATACATACACCTACATCATACTAACACTTACTTTATCCTAATATAACCAGGCCTCATTCATTCAATCTTTGGGGAACGGCGTATCTGATTGTTCACAGAGCATTTTTATTCATTAAATTCATCTCCCGTTCACGAGTATACTTATTTTTGGGCTCTTTTCTCAAAGATTAATGATTAGGCTGCATAACCAGGAGTATGCGCTTTAATTGCGTAACATTATCTCATGGTTACGTAATCGGTCATTAGTTTTATATACTATTAGGCAAGCTCTTTATCGATATATAGCCGACTCCCAATGTCATAAAAGTTTTGTAAAATATGTTATGTCAAAATGATGAATTCTATAAAAGCGTACACGTGTCCTTCGGATATAAACTACTATAGGGTTGCTAATCAACTACAGGTAACAATGGAATGGTAAAAAAGTAAGTCCTGCGACCCTATCATTACACTGCACATACAATGTATGAACATTTTCGAGTTTACCAAGTACTTGTAAGTTATTTAAAATCATGAACGATTTTAAATGCAATCATTTCCAAGGCAGCAGTCTACATGACTTCATAGGCGTATGACATTGCTTAAATATTAACTTTCAACTGAACATTAAATATACAAAATATGCTGCCATTTTTGATCAAATATGAGACAAAATGATGAATCATGCCTTCACATTACTCCTAATATAAACGCCTATAATGTTAATAAATCAAGAGATGTTTCTTAAATATTTTTATGTCAGAATTTTACCTTAGTTTTCAAATATATAATCGTTTTTGATAATTCTGACATTTAAAAAAGTTATCAAAGACAAAGTGACCCTTAAAAAATTCTGCCCAGGCTACTACGTAATATAGCTTGGTTTGTACAGCGCTCTAGAAGAACACAATACCTTCTGATTTTGTTTACCCGTGTTTTTAATCTGATTCATCAACAGATTAACTGTATGGATTGAATATTTAATTTTTGAACTTGTCATGCCTTTCGAACATGAAATAACATTGTGCGAAATAAATCAGATTTCAAAAGAATGATATATTACAGCATGCTGGTATACAAAAATACAACATCAACATATTGTACACATAAGAGTAAAATAAACAAATCGAGGCTATTCACTGCATGTGGGGAAATTTACCATAATTTATATTTTCAAGTAGAGTCAAATTCTGTTTTTCTATTAAAGCCTGTGCCATGTCTGTTAATATCAACGACATTTAATGGCTATCATGTATGGTTCAAATTTTAAGAGTGTTACTTTCGTTAGCATTCCTTATATGGAAAAGAGGCGGTCTTAACATTCTTTTGAATCTGGTTAAGATAGCATCTTTCCAGTACAGAATCACTTTTTCGGACATTCTTGGTTTAAGCAACACAAACATCATTTAGATTTAAACTTCAAAAATACATAACTTGCTATCGAAATTCTAAATTAACACTTAAAACCGTTGGCTTTTAAGCTAACAAACAGGATAATATCAACATGTAACTTTTACAACTAGCGTAGGATTTATCCTGAACATTAATAAATATTGGAACATCATTTAACATTTTATGTTGGATTTTATATAACAACATCTCATAACGTAAATATAACATGGTGGACGCTCCAAAGGATCCCGGCCTCATGAACACTTCATCATAAATGGATACACCCATCAAGTCATTACGTAATTTCTACACTCGGGGAAGACAATTATTTAGTCAAGAAGAAAATCAAGGAAACATTGAAATCATACCACAAAGGAACAATTTAAATTTAGAACACTTTGATGATAGAAAAACAATGGCGAAAGCTTTAAGCTCCATCCAAGAATTTAAGAACACTGATAACCCAATCGTATGGTTCGAACGCTTTGATGCCGTTTCTTTGATTAATAACTGGAATGACCAAGAGAAATTATCTATGCTGAAACTCAAAATTCCAGAAACCACCACTTTATGGATCAGGAAATTACCGTTGGATATTTTAGAGGACTTCGACACTTTAAAAGAAAAATTTATTGAAAAATACTCAAAACAGGACGATTGGAGATCTATCCAAGATATCTTCACCAAGGAGCAGAATAACCTTACAGTACAAGAATACTCAGACTACTTTCTAACAAAGGCAAGTCAAATTGATATTGAAATTGACGATTTAAAATTAAAATTTATTTGTGGACTCAATGAAAAAACTCGAGCAGATGTTATAAAATCGAAACCAACAACTTTTGACGAAGCTGTCGAAGCTGCAAAAACTTCAGAAGCAGCAAATTATTCGTGCACATCAAACTCCGTGGCGGCGATCAACCGATCAAACGAAAAGCATGAAGACGTCAAAGAATTAACAAGATGCGTCAAGGATCTTTGCTCCGTAATAGCAAAATCGGAACAACAACAACAACAACAACAACAACAACAACAACAACAACAACAACAACAACAACAACAACAGCGACAATGGTATCCACAACAAAAACAAGCTGAACCTGAATGGGACATGTGGGACACTCCTCAACGTCAGCGTTGGAATTCCCGTGCACCTGCACGCGGTGTTTTTACTGCAACAGAACTAATCAGACTGAAGCGTACTGCTTTCTAAAGAAACAGCACCTATCAGAGGGACGATACTCCCCTCAAAATAAGCATAACAATAAGCATTTAAACTAGATAGCGGGCATGATACACCTGAGGAGCGTGTACCATTGCCTGTTATCAAGTTAGATGATGATGCCAGAATAAATATTGAAATTAATGGAACAGTTCTAGTAGCATTAATTGATACAGGTGCTTCAAAATCATTTATTAACGAATCAATACTTGCAAACCCTAGAATGAAAAATTTAAAATTATTGGAACCAATTTTCGACTCTGTTAGATTAGCAGACAATTCAAAAATGAACATAAAAATATGGTAATGCCTACAATAACTGTTTCAAACGTTAGTTTTAAATTTGCATTGCATTCCATGGCTAATCTTTTTGACGACGTGATTCTCGGTCGTTATTTTCTAAAATTTTGCAATGCAAATATTGATTTTAAGAGTAATCAAATTACAATGCCATCATCATCTAAGATTACATCAGAAAATGCTATTACAATCAAACCAAAGTGTGAGGTGGTGTGTTCTGTGAAAACCATAAATCACGAAGGAGTAGAGGGTCTGATATCTCCAAGCAGAAAGCTGACTAGAACTTTGAATATAGGTATAGCTAGGGTGGTTGATAAATGTCGAGATAATACTATACATATCCGCATTTTCAACGGAAACGACCATTGTGTTACAATTAATGAAAGAAGTAATTTAGGAACTTTCGAACCTCTTGGACTTGAGTCCATTGTAAATCAAGCATTTGACAAAGAATGCATGACAGTTTCAGCTTCTGAATCAAAATCTAATGAAAACAATTCTAATTCCAATAAACACCAATTTGATAGTAACACAAACTCAGGTCAAGTTCCGATCAGTGTAACATCAGATAGTCTCAATGAGAGTCAAACAGAAAAATTGCAAAATTTAATTGATTCTTATAGCGATGTTTTTATTGAAACAAATCCTACTTTAGGATCATGTACTTTATTTGAACAACAATTGAGGTTGAAAGATCCTAATTGTAAACCAACTAACTGCAGACCTTATAGGGCTAGTATAAGTCAACGAAAAGTTATTGACGAATTTATTGACAAAATGTTGACTGAAGACAGAATAAGACCTTCAACAAGTGAATTCTCAGCTCCTGTAGTTTTGGTTAAAAAGAAATCAGGTGATTGGAGAGTATGTTTAGATTACAGAGCTGTTAACCCATTGTTACAAAATGACCAATATCCAATGCCAAATTTGATTGATAGTCTAAACAGCATAGGGGTAGCTAAGCCGAAGTATTTCTCTGTTCTGGATTTGAAAAATGCATTTTATCAAATTAAATTGACAGAAGATAGTAAACACATAACTGCCTTTACTTGTCATAAAGGTCTTTATGAATGGAATGTTGCTCCTATGGGTTTAGTGACAAGTTCAGCTGGTCTTCAGCGCTCAATTGATTTGGCTATGAGTGGTATTCAACACAAGATATGTCTCTGTTATCAGGATGATTTAATTGTGTACTCAGAAACTTTTGAAGATCATCTTAGGGACGTAGCAACTGTTCTAGGTAGGCTAAGACAGGCAGATTTGAGATTGTCAGGTTCCAAGTGTGAATTTTGCAAGCCAGAGGTAGATTATTTGGGGTATGTAATTTCAGAAAAGGGCATATCTCCAAATGAAAACAAAATTAAACTTATTGAGAAATTCCCCAGGCCAGAGAACGTCACAGAATTGAAACGTTATTTGGGTATGACTGGTTTCTATAGGAGAAGTATTCTAAATTACAGCCATATTGCTAAACCCTTATATCACATTTTGTCTAAACAAAACGAATATATCTGGACGAGTGAATGTCAAGATGCATTTGAGAAATTGAAAAGTAATCTGAAAACTGCACCTATTCTAGCATTTCCAGATTCAAATGCTCCATATCAATTATACACTGATGCATGTACAGAATCAATTGCATTTATTTTGCAACAAAAACAAGATGGAATTGATAGAGTGATTCAATATGGGGGTAGAAAGTTAAAACCCGCCGAGAGAAATTACCCAATTACACAATTGGAGGGTCTGGCAGTATATGACGCTGTTAAATCATGTCATCAAATTCTAGCATCATCAAAATTTACCATTTACACTGACCACAAACCACTTACAAGTCTGTTTAAAAAGAAAAAAGACATAGGGGGTCGTCTATTGAGATGGGGAATGTATTTGCAAGAGTTTGAGTACCAAATTATATACAAACCAGGTCGATCCATGGCTCATGTAGATTGTTTGTCAAGGATCCCTTACGATAAGTTAGACCAAACTGATAAGACTAGTGAGAAGACAAAACAAACAAACAATGAATTACAAAAAGTAATGCCATTTAATTGCATGACTGACAGAGAAATGAAAACGCAATTAAATTGTGTCAATGAATGCAAAACAATGTCTGAGAAAGATATCACATTAAACACTTTAAAAAGTGATTTGAAAGATAGGTGTATATTAAGTTCTGAAAATGAACCATATCTCACTGGAAACAAGAAAGTGAAAATACCAAATGAATACGAAGAAATGGTAGACAATCATTACTCAGATTTTGGAAAAGATCAATTAATAAATGCACAAGACAGTGATGAGTTTTGTAAAGCAATGAAAAACTATTTATCTGATTCAAGTTTGCCTTTAAACAATGACAAGTTAGCAAACATAATTTCACGCCAGAATCAAGATTTTGTACTCCTTGACGATGTGCTGTACAGATTGTTTATCTTTGCTGGATCAAGTGACAAAAACTCGAGATTAGTGTTACAATTAGTTGTTCCAAAACAATTGAGAACACAGGTGCTGCATAGACACCATACACATATATTAGGAGGGGGGCATGTAGGAATAACTAAATGCTATTCTACTTTGAGGCAGAGATTTTATTGGCACTCTATGTTTAATGATGTAAGAAAGTATGTGCTAGGTTGTGAATCCTGTACAAAGAGAAAACATATTAGACCAATCAAACATGCAAAGTTAGAACCGATTGTGTCAAAATTTCCATTCCACAAAGTATTTTGTGATCACTTGGGTCCCTTTGAGGAGTCGGAACAAAATAAAAACAAATATATACTTCAAATAGTTGATGGGTACTCAAAGTATTTAGCAGCTTATCCTTGTAAATCAATCGATGCTAAGACAACAGCAAAGTTATTGGTAGAGAAATTCATTTTACAACATAGCTTTCCACTTGAAATTATAACTGATCAAGGAAGCGCATTTACATCAAAGGTTGTAAAAGAAGTTTGCAAGGTTTTGAATATAAACAAATTATGCAGTACAGCTCACCATCATCAAACTGTAGGTCAAACTGAGAGGATTAATGAATTTGTTTACAACGGAATCTCTATGTATATTGAAAACAATAATCAAGCAAGTTGGGAGTCGATTCTTTCATACATTTGTTTTAGTTATAACATAACGCCAAATGCGTCATCTCAGTTGTCGCCCTATTTTCAATTATATAACAGAGATCCTTTGTTGCCTATTCATCATGAACTTTTATTAAGTCAGACAGAGCTATTGACAGAATCAACAAGAGACATTGTTGAGAACATGACATTTGCAAGAAACTTAGCAGATAAGAATCTTGAAAAAGCAAGGCAGAAGATGAAAGATAGGTATGACAAATCAGCCGTTGTATATAATTATGTACCTGGTCAAATTGTCTATCTTCTGAACCCTAACAGAAAGAAACATGTAAATCACAAACTTGACATTAATTATTTTTGTGGGCCGTTTGTGATTGTTGAAAAAGTTGGTGAAAGTCCCAATTATATTATCAAGCGGTTGTGTGATTCAAAAATAATGAAACCAGTACATTTTGACAGGTTAAACCCAGGTCATGAGTTGTGGTTAGAGAATGAGAAACCAGAAATTCGAGATACTGAAAGTAATACAAACTCACAACAAACTCAGTTATCTCAAAATAATACAAACAATTGTAATTCAAGTCCACTAATTGACTCAAATCAAAGTAGTGTGGATGATCAAGAAGACGATTTATTTGAGATTGAAAAAATAATTAGAGGCAGGTATGCAAATAGTTCAAAGGGTCTTGAATTATTAATTCATTGGAAAGGATTTCCAATATCAGCCAGGACATGGGAACCTTATAGTAATTTGAATTCATATGGCAAAGAATACTTGAAAAGCCATAAGATTCTAATAAGGGGTAAAAATAGGATGCCCAAAATACTTGTACAAGAAATATTTGGTTGAAAGTATACTGGGCGTTAGCATGGTGTTAATGGATTTAAAACACTGTGTGTATTGTTTTATGACAAGAACCAGATTTCTTGTAAACATTGTACAGAGACACCCATTAATATTAATAAACACTTTGTGAAGTGAACTTTTTTTTAAAAGTGCCAATAAGGTGTGATTTTATGAGTTGTTTTTGACTTATCATGATGAATGAATGATCATCATGGAAATCATATCACATGCATATACAATTATTTTATAGCTATTATAATCATATATTAGTGAAACTATAACCATTTATGATATTCTGCATTTGATTTGTGTTGCATTTGAAATTACATTTGAGAGCAAATTGCTGTGAGAAATTTATTTTAAAGCCTCAGGCATATGATAAAATTCTTGAAACAGTATCACTTGTTGGATATCGCTTTCAACTAATTAAAGAACCAGTGAGGAAATATGTTTTTCTTCACAATCAAAACTTATCTCTTCTTATATTTTAAAAGAATTTGTTGTCAAAACTAAAGATTTCATTTATTGATTTTATCAATTAATATGAGAGTCATGATTATATTGATGTAATCGGAACCATGAATTTGTATTACATGTTTTCTGAGACTGGTACATAGAGTTTTCTTTGTTTCATATGATTAATAGGTCATACGAGACACTGAGAGTTATGGTGATTGCATTATTTATAGTGTACATGTACTGTTTTGACCAGAAATTCTTTAAAGTTTTGAATTTCTAAATATTTGTAACATAAAACAGGCATGCTTTGTTTAAAATCATTTGTAACAAACTTTTTGTTTTAAAATGTTGACAAGTGACGCTAATAAATTTTCAATGTTTGTTACTGTAAGTGAAGAAATACAATTAGTCTTTGAAATCTTTGATACTTTGAGAACTGCAGCTATTTTGAAAGTTTGCTGGAGTGTTTATTTGAAATTGTTTAGGATTCTGATTATAATGATAATTCTCGCATAGATAACTAGATCAGTGGTTGACAGGATAATTAATAATTTTATTTTAATTTTGTCCTAGAGGGGAGGTAATCTATTTTATCATATAATCACATCATTTTTTCTAATGACTCAGAAATCTTTTGTCTTTGATCTTTGAACAGTTAATTTTAAATGCGTAACTATGGAAGTTAAACATTTCACAAGTTAGCTGGATTTTATGGATCACTTTGTACGCACAGACTAGTGATACATTATTTTCATCAATTGAAATCTGACTTTAGAGTGTTGTATGCATTTTGTTTGTTTAGTTTACGATATGACTTGTTGCTATGAGGCATAGCCAACCTCTGGATAGCAGTATTTTGATAGCTGACACTGATGGGAAATAGCCAGCCCTTTAACTGTTAAGATATCATCTCAATTAATTTTGAGTGAGGCAAGACATTGACCAGACTGACTAATTTTGTGTTTACACACAACATCTGATAAGACTCAGTTATTAGAATAACAAATCATTTAAACATCACAACTTTTTAGAATTGTGTTGTATTGTTCTGCAATTGTATGATTTTTAAGACTTATTATTTTGTTTATGGATAACATGTTATTTGTTATCTGACCAGTCAATTAAATTGATAAACATGTGTTTATTGTAAACATTGCTTGTGCATCAGCTGAGTGTCATGTCTGGATACCATTGGTAGCTCCTCCCAGAAATAACAGTCACCTGTAGTGAACATGCAATTAATTTTGATTTACAAATGAATTTATTTTCATTGGTTCTCAATTCGTATCTCAATGCAGATATTATATAGCATTATTATATTTAGTACAATGTATGTTGTGTTATCATTTTACATGTAATTAATGTGTTTTAACAATTTTAAGACTGAGACAGGATAGCTAATATTGTTGTTTTGTCCACTATTGATGAGTGGAGAGTCCCTTGGGAGACTACTTGAATGCTATTTTGTCCACTATTGATAAGTGGAGACTATTTTGATAGTATTTTTATGCAATGACTATTGTGATCATGATGCTATTATTTGATACGCGTATATGAGGTTCATTTATGAATAATACCAATTTCAGCCCAGGCCAGGTTGTGTAATAATTGTTAGATGTCATATTTGTAAACCATCATTTTATGATATGTTTATATCAGTGTTTTTATATCGCCGTTTGTTCGGAATACTCTCATGGTATCATCGTATTGTTGAGCATTTTCCGTGATGTAATATATAGCACTAGATGTAGCTATCAATTGTAAATGTACTTAAAGTATTTAAAGTACATATGATTTTAAAATGTATTAATATAAAATACATGATATTTTTGAATGCATTATTTGTAAAAACACGGAATATTACAGCACTCTCTGGGACGTATAGTCGTTGAATGACATAGTGTACTAGTTTGTCGTGTATATATTTCTGATGTTTTGTTTCAGATAAACTATTAAGGTGTATCTGTAAACGATATAGATTTTATGGTGAAACACATTAACTATATGTAAACTTATTTCTAGTTATATGATTATCTTCGTGAAGGGCCAATTTTGGAGAACGGAAGTTTGATGTAGTTTTATTTTGGAGAGAGTAACTTGTGTTGCTAAGGTAACATGAGCCAAGGGTTTCATTATAATCCTATTTTTAACTTTGTGTAACGAACATGATCATATGTTTAGTTGTATTTTGTAGTAGAGACATCTATTATCGTATAAACTGTAAAAGTGTTCCATCTATCTTTGCTCTGTATTTCTATTTTCTATGATTAGCATACTTTAACTTTAACTTGAAGAAAACATATTGTATAGTTGTGATTTAGTAAAAATGGTTATTTTTCATTTTTAAAATTATTGTAAAACACAATGTAAATTAAGGTTTATTTTAACTACATTTTTGCACTTTTTACATTACTATTGTACTCCTTGTTTAATTAATTTTATCTGATGTGGAAATCAGATTTTACTAGAAGGGGGCATATTGTATGGTTCAAATTTTAAGAGTGTTACTTTCGTTAGCATTCCTTATATGGAAAAGAGGCGGTCTTAACATTCTTTTGAATCTGGTTAAGATAGCATCTTTCCAGTACAGAATCACTTTTTCGGACATTCTTGGTTTAAGCAACACAAACATCATTTAGATTTAAACTTCAAAAATACATAACTTGCTATCGAAATTCTAAATTAACACTTAAAACCGTTGGCTTTTAAGCTAACAAACAGGATAATATCAACATGTAACTTTTACAACTAGCGTAGGATTTATCCTGAACATTAATAAATATTGGAACATCATTTAACATTTTATGTTGGATTTTATATAACAACATCTCATAACGTAAATATAACAATATACTAAAAAATATTGCTTATTAATTCTACGTACTAACTCTACGTACTGATGTACGTGCCTGTATCCACCTTGTTAAAACTATGCTGAATTATGGGTCATTCCCATTTGGGCTCCTTCAGACCATGATTTTTTACTTGATTTTCAGTGTATGATATGCTGTCATAGATTTTGCGGATTTAGAATGTGATGCTGTTTCTTGAACAAAGGATGGGGGTGGGGTTGTTACATATCCGTGACTGATATCATACAATTCCGTAAGCAAGGACCAGAAGGGATAATTTCGAATATATGAAAGTAAGGTTTTAATTGTACAATATACAAACACATTTTTTTGCAGCAACAATCAATTGGTCTTTATTATGTAATCAAATTTAGATAAGATATGGTGATCATAATTGTTTAGTATTTCACTGTTTCAGGTTTGGCGTTTGGAAATGTGTTCAAGTTCATCAGATTTCTGAAACAAAAACAAAAAAATTTAGTCAAGCATAAATTTTACCGTTTAAAAATGATATACTTAACAATGAAAGTGTTTATGTTATTAATCAAATTATTTTCAATTTTTAATGTTTTTTTCTTACGGCAGCATTTCAAATTTTTTATTTCAAATTGCGGATCCAGAGAGCAAATTTTGCCGCCACAGTTAGTGCAGCCCGTGCTAATGCGTTTACAAGTTGTAATCTCTACGCTTTTACAACCAAAAGGCGCTTGTCGTTTGTTGCCTTCTATATTCTGTGGAAAACCAGGGAAGTCAAGAAAAGGTGCACAATCCGTACGATCACAGGGCCCCCACAGTCCCCAGGTATATTTTGGACACTGTTCTACTTTTTTAGTTGTTGTCGCTGGTTTTGTTGTTGTCGCCTTTGGGGTTGTCTTCTTTGGGGTTGTCTGTTTTTTTGTTGTTGGCTTTGGACCTACAAATAATTCATCGTGTAATAGGAAATCAATGAAAATTAGCTTATATTTTATAGAGTTGGCTTCATTCTGTTTTTATGTTAGGGATAAACAACGAGTCTTAGTATTAGACAAAACAATTTTTTCTCCTTAAACCCAAAATTGAACCAAAAGATCCAATTTAAAAAAAATTGAATTTCTTTTTTTTGTATTGACTTGGGTAAGCTTATTAAGAAGTGAGTGGCTGTAATTAGCCCAGCTTGAGTGCAGTGCATTTAACATGGCATGTACAGTTTAACGTTTTTCAACTATTGAAGGCGTGGATATGGTATAATTAGTTAAGCGTAAGTGCATTGCATGTGACAGTCAATTGTCTTTTATGCCACACTGGTTTTGGCTAGCAAAAGCCAAGTGTAGACTCTTAAAAAACAATAGAAAAATAATACACTGCTCTTTTTTTAGCTGGATATTCTTAAAAATAAAGCACCGTTCATTCTATTGTGTTGCTACTTAAGTGTGGTTTAAGTGTCTATTACCCATGCAATGCCATTTAAATGGACGAATGAGATAAATGTGGACATATTTTTTATTTTTATCGAACAGCTATAGGAATACTGTCCTAATGTAATAGTTCACTGTTTTGATGTGGGGTAAGTCACGTGACTGCGCTATCTATATATTCAAGAGCTTTGGTGTGATTCTCCAATTGCGAACATGTACATGTATCTTCTATTAAGAAAGGATCGCGTGTAGCCTCATGCTTCAATGATCTAATAACTCGTCAATTTCCTCTCTAAATTGTGAATATGAATCTTGTTCAAATTCTTTTTCCTCTCTTGTTTCATTCATTTTGAAATAATTTCAACGTCACTGGTCACGTGATTTACCGAATGGTTTTATGCTACATGCATGTGTCATTTATGTGGGGTAAGTCACGTGACTTACCCCAAGTGATTTTATGCGAAAGTACATGTAATTAATTATGTGGGGCAAGTCACTATATGTCCGTGCTATTTTAGACTCTATGATTGTTCGGTAAATGAAAATTGTTTGGTTCCAAAGTATATTTGTATTTGATGCGTGTTCTTAATATATGTGTCAACCGTCTTTGTTCGTGTGTGTACATGGACTTAAATATGTGACATTTTACCAAGCACTGAATAACATGAACCGCATATACAAGTGCATCTACGCATGGTGTACACTGCCTTACTACTTGGCATTTGTATGTCGTGATGACACATGTCTGTCGTTTCTTACCCACTGGAACAAGTGGTGTACAATCTGCTGGTGGATTACATTTTCCAGGAACATCCATCCACTTTCCCCATATGCCACAGCCTGGTTCTAGGAAATAAATAAACGATGGTTCATGCTTGATTACAGTATGTCATGTTATAGTTCCCAATTGCAACAATTAAACGTTGGTCTATAGTCTATGAATATATGCATATTTACTTAGCTGTCTCCCACTTGAGACATCCTTTTAGCATTGAAATGACACTTTGTGAATACATAGAGATTTCGCAGAACACTTGTAGAGTGTTTATAAATCCTTCATTTTATAACTTATCTGATATTATTCGTCATTAGTTGCATAGCTCTATCTTTTCATAAGAAGCAATGGCTTATACGTAACATGGTGTTTCAAAGTCAGTAAATTCTTTAGATATACAGTAGGTATTGGTAGGAATCATAATATTACTTGGCATAAAGTCATATTATAGTGACATTATCAAAACCATCTTATACATAAGGAATTTGGAAGGGGAAATATTTAATTTTGGTGAAACAAATTAAATTAAAATTGTTTCTATACGTATTAGTGCATATTTTTGCAAAATCCCAATTTCAATTCACTTATACTCTTTACGTATACACATAAATTATGCTTTCGCTTCTACCGAAATCTTCGTCTGCTAATAAATAAACATATATTCGTTGAAAAGCGTTCATGTTTTATGACCAAAGTTTGCAACAACCGTATGATATAAGGCCATGGGTATCAGTAAGTTATGAGTTTTTAATAATAGGAGCTAACACGTATTCTAAAGATCAAAAGTATGGGACTTGGTGTCATCAATACATACATTTCTATTACAATAATGGGAGTGAGGAAGTGAGGAAATTGTCTTACGTAACATATTTTAACAATTTTGCAAATAGTTTTATTTAATGGAGCTGTCACACTTAGGCCGTGTGGGCTCACCGTTCGCCACCATATAAATACTTAGGGTACAGGGCCGGACGACACATGGGCACACGAGGGGCTAGAACAAGATATTCTTACAACTTATGCACACGAAGAATGAAAAAAAGATTTATCTATCAAATCAATGAATTCCAAAAATTAACAACGTGGTTGTGAACCAACACGGCCCATTATTGCAGGTGAAATTGTTTTCGAAAACATTTACACTCATTGGCAAATGTTAACATTGTTAATATCATAGCTTGACATAAAAGTGGCGAAGAAAGCTGATAGAAAAATGTTAAACTTAACACATTTAGCTAAACGAATCTCATACAATCATTTTAAAGACATTTTAAAGGAGGATGCATATGAAGGGAAGAAGAACGATGGTTTGTTTATAACAGTATCACCCTGCTATAGCATGATGGTTATGCCACCTCTGACACTATATGAAATAGAGAATATTGCTTTGTTATAAGCAGTGTCTATTTGTAAGAATCTCTTGTAATGTGCAGTAATCAGCAAAAATACTCAGCACATATAAACAGAGACAGTACAGAGACAATACTCGCTGCATATATGGAACACTCTGTATATTCAAGTATTGCTCCTCTTTATTTGTAGAACAGCACAAATAAGCACTGATTATACGTGGAGTTAAGAATACTCAAATATATGCAAACGCAATACTCTGTAAGTGTGCAATATAGTCACACATTATAATTGCCTCTTTCTGACTATATTAAGCTATTTCTAAGTTGCTCTGTTCATTTTATAACTGAGCATACAAATAAATAACGGACTATTTGTGCGTATTTTTCTATTAAGCATGATAAAACAACACAACTAAAGAATGTAAGTACCGTAGTTCTTTATGAATATGACTTTACCTGTGTATAATAAGCGACTACAGGATGGATTTCGAAATAATCTATTTTTACTATAATTGTGATTTTTCGACACCTTTTAAGTCACACCGGAAAAGAGAGATCTTCCTTGTAGTTATCAATAAGTTGCTAATAAAGAATACTCGTGCAAACCCATGTTTTTAATGGAGATCGCCCCCCCCCGACGGAAAGCTGGCTACACCGCTGAACTTGTTATCTCTACTTTTAGAGTCAATGCAACCTAATTCTTCCTGAGAAGGTATTATAATTTAACAACCTGTTACCACCATTCGTATTAAATCATGGATTATGCATAGGAATTCAATTGTTTACTTTTTCAAATCGCTGCTTTGTTTTCCATTCCCCATGATCAAAGCAAATGGTAGTCTAGACTCTTTTGGTCATGTTTTCGATTGCATTTAAAATCTGCACATCAATTCAGAACCATAAAATATAAATCACTGGAGCGACGTCCAACATCTTTTAATCCGCTTAATAAGTGATTCTTGCCTTTGAATTAAAGCCCATGTTAAATTCCTCCCGGTAAAGCCGGTATTTAGAAAAAAATATGACAGGTAATGGAATCGAAAAAAGATTAAATCATTTTATAGTGTTTATGTTTCAATCAGCGTTGATTTCATTGTCTTATATAACTCATTTACAGGAGTTTTGCATTCCCGATTCACTTGGTCATAGTTTGCCCAGGATAGCTTGTTTATAATAAATTGATTTAAGTTTAAATAGAAAAGAAAGATAGTATTCTAATTTGAATTTTAGGAACTGGGTTTCAAAAACCGGCTTTTTAACTTCAGTTTGAAACTGGCTTTTGATAACACTGCTTTTTGAGAACTATAGATTGCAAATGCGGTTGCCTTCGTGTACTTTTCAATGTTTCTGTGCAGTTTTGTGAATCAAAATATCATTTTTTGATAACTTGATAATATGAGAAAGAAGAGACAAAACCTGATCAGAGATACCCTTGTTTCTATTTTGAATTAGACCTTGCTTTGTTTTCCATTCCCAAATACATTCACAAAACTTTAATCCCTAATTATTCAATTCTTGCAAATGAGTTAAGTTCTCACTGATATTAATCCGTTTGTTATAGTTAAATGGATTAATTTCTATAGCCAGTTTTTCTAAATCCCCGTGCTACATTGTATAATTAAATTTCTTTTAAATTCAGAAATTAACCGATTATCTCTGAAGGAATGCAAAAGGTAGTTCAACATTTTAAGGATACAACTGAACAAGGTGGGCATGGATACCGGGAGGGGGGACTTTAGCTACATTATTATCAGATGTTTGGATTGTTCACTTCTAAGGATGTTATTTTAGCAAGTAATGCAATCAGACGGCTTGTGCACAATGGTGTTACCTATAATTAGTTCTGGAATGATTTTTAAATCCATGGGAAAGTAATATCTGAGATCAAGGCATTTGTTGAAATAAAATATTGACAATTTTAATACCAATTATATTTTCAATAATTTCATTTAGCGTATTTGATGTGAGTTTATCTTCTGCTTCCTCTAGCATCTGGGTTCCTAGTAAATTATGATCCCGGGATTATGATGTAAAGTAAAAAGGTTTTTGACTTGTAATACTAAATGTACGTGTACTTTGTCGAAATCTCTATCCCCGATTAAAGCTTTAATTATCGCAAAATAATAAACAATTGTATCAAAATATTGAAAACTCAGTATTACATGTCAAATGACAGCTCTTATTATGTGAAAATGTGAGTAAAATACACTACATCTGCAAATACATGTATGCAATCGCATTCAAACTTGATTGATTTAAATTGATTGAATGTCTAAAAAAGAGCTTTAATAATATGTTTTACTTAAATCATGGTGAATGGCTTTCGAAACATTTGATTGCAACCCATATTTCAGTTTGGAACAAAATACTCAATCAGCGGCCGATGAATCGCGG